TGGACTGAGGCTGCCATGAGGGTGTTTGGCCACGAGGAGAACAAGGATCCACTGCTGAGCCCCACAGGGCCAAGCCGCACTCCTTGAAACACCCTTCTGTCCTGCTGCCTGCATGTCACTGCGATTCGAGGTGCTTGGTGCCTGATGGAGCTGCAGGGAAGGCACTGGTACAGGGCTTGGCTCATCCCACATGTCCCATCCTGCACATCCCATCCCACACAAGTTGTCCCACTCTGCTCACCCCGTATGGCTCATCCTGCACACCCAAGGAGGCCTGCGGTGCCCCGCGGAGGAAGCAGTGTTGGCAGGGATGTGCGGCAAACAGGAAGTGGGCTCAGCAGAGGATCACTCCAGAGCCACCCGGCATGGAGCCCACACTAAGAATAGCAGTGGAGCAGCCCCTGTGCAGGATGGTTGGGCCAGGAAGGAGCGGGCTCCTGTTGCCTGTGGAGCCTTTCGGCAGCGGCCCCACACCACAGGGAGCTGTGTAGCTCTGTGAGCTACAGAGCCATCAAGAGAGGAGCCCAGGAAGAGCCACGGGGTTCGTGTGGGTCCCGGCAACCCCCACGCTTGCTCCAACATGCAGGGGCTGTGCTGGAGCCGGGGCCAGGCACACACAGCTCAGCACTGCCTGTGCTCCCAGAGCCCTCGGAGGCCTCTGCTCACCGCCCCCTCGTCCCGTCAGCTGGATCCGGCGCTTCTGCGCAGCATGGCCGAGGCTATGGCAGGGCCTCCCGCTGCTGCCAGAGGGCCTGGAGAAGGGGTGGGCATCCCTGGGCGTCCCCAGGTGTCACATGGCATCCCTGGATGTCCCTGGACGTCCCCAGGCACAGCTAGCACTGGTGCCTCCATCCCCTCCTCATGGAGATGGGAAGCGGAGGCCCATGCATGGCTCCCACTTCCTTGCCGGACGTCTCCACCCTCCGCCATGTCACTGAGACCCTACGAACCACAGAGCATGGGAAGGGGCCCAGGCAGCCATGGGGCTCCCCACCGCCAAGTACTCACCGCGGCGCGACTCAGCGCTGTGCTGTGCACGGGGCCGAGGTCACAGGAGAGCTGCTTCTGCGTCGATGGCGAGCAGCTCCAGCTTGAAGAGCCTCTGTGGTGCCGGGCAGCGCTGCCCGCTGCGGGCGGGCTGGGGGATTTATAGGGCTGCGGCCGCCGGGGAGGTGTGGGTCCGGCTGCGCACACCGCCCGGTGCAGGACAGCGGCCAATCTCCTCCCCACGGGGGCCAGGCTCAGCCGAGGTGGACCAACTTAGTTGCCTTATTGGTTTCTGCGGCCACGTGACCATGCTGAAAAACATCATAATTAAGCTACAAAATGCTGCTCATAAACTAGCATTAGAAAGTGACAGGGGAGATAAGTGGGACCTCTGTGGCAGATAAAGCGCCAGGAGAGAGGAACTGCGGGGAGGTGGGGGCACGGCGGGCAGGGCAGCGCACCAGCGCCCGCGTCGGGGCTGCGCTGATTTACGGTGCGAGGGAGGAGGCTGTGAGATGGACATGGCGGGGCAGGCCATGGGGCAGCGAGCCCAGCAGCAGGCAGCCGAGGTGCATAGCCCTCGTGGAACTGGGGCTGCAGAGCTGCACAGGAAGCGCTGGGACGAGGTGTGGGGGCAGAACTGCTGCTCCATGGGTTTCCCACCTCCCACACTGCCCCAGTGCCGCTCCAGCCTATGGGCACAGCGGGGCTGACAGCTCTGTCCCCTGCATGGGCAGCAAGGTGCGGCCCTGGGGTGCGGCTGCTTTGACACCTCTCCTCCCGGGGTGGAGATTTACTCTCCCAACAGCACCGTGTTCCACTATAGCAATGCAATGCCCTGTGGGTCCATGCTTGGCCCCAGCCACAGACCCTGGCTCGGCGGGTTGGCACAGGGCAGTGGGAAGGGCAGGGACAGGGCCCAGGCACGTCCTCGCAGGCAGAAGGGAGCACAAAGCCCCAGGGAAGGAGTGGGAGCCGCAATCTGCACTGCCCAGGTTGTTTTTTCCGTGCTCTGCAGCTGAAGAGAGGAGAAAAGTAACGAAAACACAGCTCTGTAGAAGAGCCAGGCCTGGAGAGGCAGCTTCCGCCCCAATCCCCAGCAATTATCAGCTGAATGCCAGATGTTCCGATGCAATGCCAATGTCAGGGAAAATAAATCTCTGGCAGGTTCAAGGTCCCGCCAGGCCGGCACGCAGCGGCTCGCGGCTCAGCCCCGAGTGAGGCAGGGACGGAGCAGTGCGGGGCGGCCGCAGCGCTTCCTCCCGCTCCCGCCGGGCATTGTTCCCCCGGGAAGGCCCGGCCTCACGCCGCCCGTTTGCTATTTTGGAAGCGAGGTGTTTGTGGGGGTAAATGCGCTCCTGCGGCCTTGGGCACCTTCCCTGCACAGGCCCTCGCCAAGGCTGCGGCACAGCTCCAGTGGTTCCCGGCCACATGGGGTCCTGCATGTAGCCGAGTCCTGGCGGGTGGGCACCGGCACTGCCTCCGCTCTGCATTCTGCTGCGCTGGAGCCCCGCCACGGCCGTCATCACTGCCCCAGCTGCTGTCACGGGCACCGAAGGGCCGTGCGGCCACAGCCCGAGCCCACCACACCGCACCACCGCTGCGGACTGCAGCAGCGCTTTGGCTCCTGGCTGGTGCGCAGCCTTGATGCTCAGCAAAGCACATCTCCTCCTGGGATGTTATCTCCATCCATGCGGCTTATCGGCGGCAGGGCAGCCCTCCTGCCTGCGCCACGTTCCCGGAGCGTGCCTGCAGCAGGTGTGGTCAGCACTACTGTTGGCCGCCGCTGGCTGCCTGCACCGCCGGCTGCCCGCAGTCCCTGACTCCGCGGCCCGCACCGATAATGTGCGCGGTGAGGACTTTGGCGATAGCGCTGCCGATGACATTACCTTGTCCCCTGCATTCTTCCGATGCCACGCACGCCTGCGCTTGGGGGCGCGGGCAGGCCCGGCGCATGGCGGTGTGTGCAGATGGTGCGCAGGCACTGCCGCGAAGCGCTGGTGGTCTCCTCCCGGGGGGACTCATTGACATATCAGTCACATAGTTCTGCATAATTGAGACTTGGATGCAGCCTCTCTTTATGTTTCCTCTTGGCAGTTGCCAACAACATGAAGCACTCCTAGGTCAAAATGACAGCCTTTTGTTTACTATTCTTGCTTATGTGCCTCATTTTCTTCAAGGATAAGAGCTCTTTATAGGAATCTTTATTGTGATGAGGTTAGCGGAGAGAGAGATTTCTTTTCGGCTTTCTTTCTCTTTCACAGCTGATTAGCAGGGTCACCCTGCGGGGAGAGCAGCGTGGGGCTGGAGCCCAGCGCCCGCCTTGGGGGCCAACCCTGCTCCCCGCCCTGAGCAGCCCCATCCCAGCACCAGGCACCAGTGGGGAGCGGCAGGCAGGAGCCCGCTGGGAACATACTGCCACTGTCCTGGCAGCAGTGGCTGTCCTTCATCCGACTCCTGCACAACATGGGAGCAGCTGGTGGCAAGGTGGGAGCCCAGAGGAGATACAGTGATGGGGAATGAAGCAGAGATCCCCCCAGCCCAGAGCTATGCCTGCAGACCTTCACCCACCACACGGGGAGCCCCATCCTCACTCCGCACCCCACCCTGGCTGTGGGTGACCCTCTGGGGGACAGCTTCTCTCTTTAAGAGGAAGGCGGATTATCCTTGAAAGTTACTTTGCGAAGGTCAAGAGTGGGACTGTGACAGAACAGCCTGACAAACGCATCTCCCAAAGTCCTTGGGCCCGATAATGTATGTCCCATGCAATGTTGACACTGGTGATCCACCAAAGATCAGGTTAACAAGTTTGACGTTGGTGACAGCGTGATTTGTTCAGCGCTGGCTCTGGATTCATAGAGCAGTTGGCCTTCGGTGATAAACTATGGCACTCGGCGCACGAGGCTGCGGCAGTTGTCACCAGCCCGAGCTCGGAGATGAAAAGGAAGCAGAGCTCTAATCAAAATACAGTGGTCAGCAGAGGTTCAGCTGGAAATTAAAACATGTCGGTACTTTTCCCAACTGCAGCAGCCCCCATGCTGCCGCATGTCCCCAGGCTCTGCCTTGGTGCTGGGCAAACCCAACCTGCAAGTACAGCGTCCTCTGCACCGCCCCGCGCACTGCCAACCTCTGGGGCCCCGTGGGGGAATAAATCCAGGCAGTATGGGGCAGAGGCATCAGAGACGCTTTGCCGGTAGGAGAAGTGCTGTAAATAAGCAAAATGAGCACAGTCGAGAGGTACGGGGAAAGGGAGAGCACACGGTAGAGGAGCAGAGCAGCATGGCTCATGCTGAGACTCCATAACTCCTGGAAGGAGCAAGGGAGAGTAAGCAATGAGAGAAGCTGGGGTCTGGGACACGACTGACCTGCAGCCAGTGCTGTTTGGCTTGGCCCAGCATGAGGAAGATCTTCATCCTGCTCCCAGAGCAAAACCCTTTTGGGTCTGAACAAAAGGATTTCTGTTGTTGAAAGAGGTGTTGGAGACCTTCCTAAGTTAAAATGTCTGCTGCAGGACAGCACTGCCCTCATGAGCGACCCGACATGGATCCATCAGCTCCATGGAGGACCAAGAGCCAACGTCTGTATGTTCAGCAACTCACAGAGAGTGCCCAGGGCCTTGACATGCACCCACTGCACACAAAGATGTAAAGATGAGAAGCTCGGCGCAGTGTCTACCTCACTCCATCTCAGATCTCTGAAGGGCTCATGCAGTCGCCACACTGCTGCCAATGCTCCCAGGCACAGCTCTCTTCCGAATGACCCCTCCCGCCCCTGCTGCCCAGCCACTCCTATGGCCCCACGCCATCAACCCACACCATCACCTTGTCTTGCCCCTGGCCCACCCTGACGCCTGCTCTCGGTGGGACACAGACAGGCTCAGGCTCCCCATGAGACCCAGTGGTACCCAGACACATTCCAGGACCAGCACCAGCCCAGTGCCGGCAGTGCTGCCAGTGATGGGGCAGTCACTCTTCAGGGTGGAGGATGAAAGCAGACGGCAGCCTGGCCAGCAGTGCAGAACAATTCACATTTATTAGTTCATACAGCTAACACTCGCTAAACATGCGTTCAACACTTATTGGTCACATTTCCACAGGTAGTCAAGTCACAGAGCGGAGCAGCGGAGCGGGGACGGCGCCGTGCCCCATGTGGGCTGGGGGACACCAGTGGGGCCACGGCGAGGCCGGGCCGGCTCCAGCTGTAACAGCATGCCATGCCAGGAGACATCCTGCTTCCCTGATTTACACAAGGGATTGTGGGAAGAACACAGTGTGCTGCTGGAAGAAGCCATCGCTGGAAACATCTGTGGAGGGTCCTAAGGACCAGGACCATCCTGCTTTGGGCACACCCTGTGAGCCAGGATGCAAAGCTCCATGAACCCCGGGCCAGCAGTGCAGGGGCTGCAGTCTGCTCCAGGCTGGGCACCAAGCAAGTGAAGCCAGCAGAGCACATCCTGCACCGTTCTGCACCACGAGGGAATGCGGAGCTCAGCCCTGTGCGGCACCGCAGCCTTTCGACCCTGCTACTTCAGCACCGTGCAGCACCCAGCGCCTGCGGGTCACAGCCACCCCCAGCAGCAGGGGAACAACTGCGGGCGCTCTCCGGGCCGCACCAGCACCAAACCCGGCAGCATTTTGTTTTTCACACAATCCCTTTGAGATGATAAACAGGATGTCACACGAGGTAGTTTTGTCATGGAAATTGAGTCAATAATGTTATCAACTATTACAAGTCATTTTATAAATTGAAAGAAAACAATGAATCACAAAAGGCTTTGTTAAGGTTGATCGTCATCTGGTTTCAATTTCTGTTTCTTTCTGCCCTTGGGGGCACTTCTGCCACTGAACGTGTTGCTTCTTTCATAGACCTGTTAGAGGTCAATTGCACAGTATCTCTCACTTTTTCTATTTTTTTTCACAGCAGAGATATTGCCTGCATTGCCCCCCAGATCTCTGCACGGCCGCTGTAAGCTCTGCAGCGCCCCAGGCGCTGGGACAGCCGAGGGAGCAGGCTGTGGCCCCACCGCCCATGCTGGCCCTGGCCCAGTGCCGCTGCTCTGCAGAGCCCGGTGCTGCTGTGGGTGCCCCCAGCAGCTGCAGAGAGCACAGGTCTGAGAGAGTGCTCTGAGAAGCAGGAAGAGGAAGCTGCACCAACTGGAAATTAAAATGCTCCAATTCCTAAGTAACCAATTGACAGCAGGAACGGGACTGTCTGCCAGAGACTGTCCTATTGAGCAAAACCCAATTTTAGCTTTCCCGTGAGCATTCGAACACATGTGACACAGAGGCAAAAAAAGGATGGGGTACATCAGTTGGATTTGGTGATCGTAGAGGTCTTTTCCAACCAAAATGGTTCCATGATTCCATGAGCTGTGAGGTGCTTTGTACATGAGCACGGGGGGGAATCTCCCACTCCCCAGTGACGCACCTGCAGGGGAAGCGCAGCTCCCCGTGAGGACGGCACGTTGCCCTTTGCTCTTCCCAGGGCGCTGCGCGGGACGCAGCACGCTCCCCAGCCCCCAGAATCTCCAGGGGAGGCTCCATTCAGATCTCAGAGAGTCCTCCAGACAAGGCATGAAAGAAGCAACCACCGCAACATCAAAACTTAGGGTTTCTCTGGGTCACGTTTAAATACTTATCCCTGAGCTGCTGTGTGCTGCAAACAACACACTGAGAACCCAGAGAAACACTACGGCTTGATCCTGACATCTCATGCATCACCCCCAATTCACACATCATCTAAAACTTAAAAATCAGCTTCACACCTAAAGTAGTTCCCCACGTTTCCCCCTTTCTCCTGCCTTCGACGTGGCAGGGATGATTGCCGCTTATTATCCTGAGAAATACAGAAATAACAACACTTCACAGACACCAAGCTTCATAGCTTCAAATCAAAACCAAGAAAGAAGAAAGAATGAATGGTAAATAGCACATTCACAGAAGATTTTTTTTCGTTGTTTTGTAGTTTTAAAAAATGTAGTAAAAAGAAATTCAAGTTTTTTGTTTAAAAAGGTTGGTTTGAAGGACAAGACTTAACACAGTGGGCCTGAGCTGGCTGTGCCCGCCCCGTGCTGAGGAGTCCCTGCGCACACAGCGGCTCAGTGGCTCCCCGTCAGTCCTTATGTGACAGCAGACTGGAAAAGCTCAGCACTTCAGACCTACAGATGCTGGAGTACAGCTGGGTCCCACAGCATGCAGTGCCTGCGCAGCAGTGCGGGCCAGCAAGGTGAGATGAGGGAGATGGCAGCCACCAGCACGCCTCACCCTTAGAAAGCAGCTGGCGTGCGTGCAAAATGGCTGCGGGGCCTGCCACAACTAAGCCACTGTTGTCATCTCCAGGACCATCAGGTTAGGAAGGCTCCTGGCATCTCGGAGCGGCCCGGCAGCCACACACAGCACTCTCGAGGAAAGATCTTGCTGCTGACACATCACAGGGGCACAGCTCTGTTCATGGGACAGAAGCCCGTCCCGAAGTGAGCAGGGGAAGGAAAGCCAGCGGCTGTCAGAGTTCTGCTCAAGTCCTGAGCTCTCACCCCCGTCACCTGCAGCAGCAATTTTTGCCCTATTCTCTCTGCTGATGACGAGCTGCGAGCTGTAAAACAGCAACAAGGTACCTACGCAGAGCTCCTCTGAAAAGGTGAGCCCCTGCATTTCAAATTTATGTCCCAGATCTCTGCTCGGATTAAAAGTAACTCTTCAGCTTTCCATTTGCACAAATACTATGAAGGAGAGGAGGGGGTCAGTCAGCCAATTTATCTTTCAAATCGGGGATAAAAATTGACTTGTCATGGCAGAAAATTCTACCAAAGACTATTATTGTTGATTGATTCCTCTATGACAGAAGGTCAGATAAGCAACAGCAGATAGATACCAAAGATAATGAACTTCCCCCTACTAGCATTAAGCACAAATAAAATATGAGGCCCTGTAAACCGAATGCTACGTGAAGAATGGAACAAAAATTCCAACCTTTCCAGGGTGTCCTTCAAACCAAATTCACAAATACATCTAGCGACTGACCTAACGTCTCTACATTTCTAGCTACATTCCTACCTTCTCATAATACCTGAGTTTGCAAAGCAACACATTCACTTTACCCTGTTTAAAAAATACAAGTCGTTAGAGGACTCGGTGCAGAAGGTATTAAGAATGACTGTCCAGTGAGTTACATTCTGGTTTGGTATATTAGCTTCTCCCTTGCTTGTCAATTTAGTAAGGATCTTCTACTCCCTACAGTAAATGCTGCCAATCGACCTTTACAGAATTTGGTGTATACAACAGAAGGAACACATGTTGTCCATTTGTCATCCTAAATGAACTTAGGGGTTTTGTTATTGGTACAGCATGAATCTTGGGAGCATTTTGGATAAACTCGGAATAACAAACAGATTGGTTTTGTTGGGTATTTGGCAATAAGATGACTGCTTTTATGTACACTTATTAAAACTAACTCATTCATCAGCAGATTATACAAGTTCGGTGATTGTAGAATAAAATTATTCCTATTCAACTTAACAATTCTTTGAGTGTATAGAACAGCAAGTCAGAAGATAACCCGTAATAAAAAGATCATATCAAGCTATTTGGAAATTAAAGTTAAAAGCGAAGAAATACTTTCTAACTTACAAACAGATACACTAAAATCTTCCCATTTACACTTGAGGTATACGACATATGCAGAAGGCCTTCCTGAGAAATATGTGCTTGTCTCATTTTACAGTCAGAATGTAAATGAGATTTACAGAACCAACTTTGGATTTGTGAAGCTCTATCAAACTGAACTGCTGCTGGTCCCAGCAGCTGTTACCCGTAACATCATATTTAAATAGTGGGAAATGAACAGCTAGTGGACTTTTAGAAAAGGGAAACCATTGAGCTGGAAAATGCCCAGGCAGAATTCCAGAGAAAGCAATGCTCCTTGGGCCTTCTGTTAGCCAGCAGCACACCTCCCAGGGCAGCACAGCGAGCAGCCAGGGCTTCCAGACAGCACCCAGTGCCCCACGTCGCTGCTGACTAACCCAGAGAGTGCCAAGCCAGTCTCACGAGGGCTCTTGGGCTTCAACAGAATGAGTACAAGGAAGGAAAGATGACTTTGGTGAACAACATTTTTCTCCCATTCACCATCAGATTCATCTTCATCAATAGCAGCTTCAGTACTTCTAAGCAATACACAGCTGTTATCAGGAGAAGACAGAAAGGGAGCAACTGGATCCTCCTACCCTGAGCAAACAGTAGTTTTTTCCCAGAATATTTTAAAAACAGCATTCAAAAGATCACAGTAAGGACACAGGGAAAGGAGTCCAGCCAGGGTAGCATGGCCCTAGGATGACTCCATCTTCCTAAGCTAATGAAGGAAACCAAAACAGGAGCACCTCCCCTAAACTCCCCACCACCACTACGGGAAGGACACCATGAGATTACCATGAGACATTCAAACTGAGCCAAACGCCGGGATTGAGCAATTACTCAGACAGCTCACCGGCTGCCATTAAGCCATTTCTCCATGCGCTGAAGTGTGGAGGTTGCTGGATGGAAAAGCCCAACCCAACACCGGGGACAAGCAGCTTACCAAGTTCTTTAGTCATACCAATTTTTTCTGGAAAGAAGGGATTCCACTAAACAATAAAACTGTCCTGGCAGGATACACCTACGCACTCCCCAAGTCCAGCAGAGAAAGCCATGCCAGAGGATCCTGGAGTCCTTTCTCACCCTTATGCAGGCTGCATTTCTCCGCAGGGTAAGTTAGCAGTTCCCAGAAATGAGCTGCTTCTGATGGCTGCAATGCAGAAGTTTCCTCAGTAGTCAGTGACATCTTGGGGGAATACACTAAAAGGGGCAACCCTGCCTCTTCCCTCAGTAGGTTTTTCCCACCTTTATGAACCTAAAATGGATGTTAAGGAAGCGATCAGAACTACAGTTCTCACTCTCTCAAAAAGAGTACCTTACTGCTGCCATGTTGGGAGCCTACTATGAACTGCAACAGAGAGTTTCAGTCGAACAGCAAGGTATTGCAGCAACAGTGGCAGCCCAGCTGGGGAGGCTAGGGAAGGAGGGCAGCTCACCATACCACAGATGGAGCTGGGAATGAGTGAGAGAGCCCTTCTTGTCTTGGGAGCCCTGCAATCCTGGAGACAGGATTCAAGAAAACTGCAGGCACTACCTGCATCTGAAAACTGCTGGAGGAAAAGAAACCTACTGGCCAGACAGACTTCCCCTTCTTCTCCACTCCCTGTCTTCTTCCCTTTTTTTTTTTTTTAGGTTTTCTTTTTTTTTTCTTTTTTTTTTTTCTTTTAGTTTTTCAAACAAACAAAAAAAAGCTTGGCACTTCTCTAACACCCCCTTTTCCAAAATTGTCCATCTGGGATACTGACAGCTCTGTCAATGAGGCAGTTTGCATTCTATGACAAACACTTCTGGATACAAATCATGAAAAGAGCAGTGTGCGAACAGCATCTTCTCCTTGAGGTAGTCTTAGTCATCTCAGTCCCCAGCCCCAAAATACAAAAGAACTAACCCTAACAAACACTGCAACTTTAAACATCTTCACATTCTGTAAACTGCTGGAGAATGCATCTGCTGCATTCATACAGAACCATGTGCATCGTGTTGAAGATCATACATTCAACTCTGTCGTGAAATAAATATATAAGGAAAAAGAGTAAAAAAACAAAACAAACAAACAAAAAAAAACAAACAAAAGATTCTTGCTACAATGGCAGGGACACCCGTTGCCCTGTCTCAGCACTTCCCTCCTGCCTTGATCATGTTTCCCCCATCCTCTGGAGGTGAGCCCGCTCCCTGCCTGAGGCACAGAGTAAGGCACGGGCCGGGGCCAAGCTGGGCTCACTCTTTGCTCACGCTTGTCTTGCAGGAATGCAGAACGGCCTTAAAAAGGAGAGGCAGCTGCTCCAGTGGGACATTCACCATCTTTCCTGTTAAGAAAAAGATCAGAATTAGCAGCCATTCCTGAATCAGATTTCCGAGAGACACCTAAGCCAGCTCCACTGATGACGGTTTTACCTTGAACCTCTCAGAGAAACAGTTAATCATCCTACTGCTACATTAGACATTTGATACCCATTTGGGCACAACAGGATTTATTATTTACTGAAATGAAAGCTAAATAAATGGGCAAAGTCAGATCAAAATGATTTCTCCACAATGGAGCAGTATTTATAGAAACTGGGAAAGACTAAATCCTGTCTCTCCTCAAACTCCCTTGTTGATCTCAGTGAGTAAATTATGTGAGCTATTATGTGATTATTATCTGGTTTGTTACAACAGGGTAGGATGAAGCACACTGAGCCTTGACACAAGGAGACGAGTATCTTCCTTCACTATAACATCTGGGAACAAACGATGTCTTAGTAACACCAGATCCTGCAGATTTAATTAGCGACACGACCAAGCTAGGAACTTCACCTGCATGTCTCAGAGGTGCCGAGGCCCAGAGCAGCTGAGGCAGGGGTTACCTGCAGGTCTGTTGCTGCCTTGCTCACTGAGCATCCCAGGCAGTGTGCAGGGATTTCCCTGCCCCTCCTGAAACAACTCACACCAGGACCACACCTTGGTGCTCCTCGAGACAAAATGCCTCTGAGCCAGGACAGGAGGGGTGAAAATAAAACATGAGTGAAATGCTGAACGTGGGCACTTCGGGGGTGAGGCCTAACTCCTTGGGAGTGGGGCAACATGAGCACACAGCACTGTAAAGCCTGGCACAACGGGGACAACATGCCAAGGAGTCGGCCCGGGTGAGTGACCTGGGGGTGGCAGAGATCGCCTCAAAGCCAGGGGAACAGCTCGAACAGAACGAGGTCTCACATGAACACCCTCCAGCAACGTGAGCAGGGATTCTGTTCTCATGTTAACTTTTTTTCAAAAGCAGATTTCATCACTTGCAAATGATCGCAGTGGGAGAAGAGCTCAGAAGTTACCTGCAATATATCGTATCTCTGGCAAACACATCATTAAATCCGGAAAACGGTTTGGCTGGTGCGGGTATTTGTACTCTGTGAAGTCCTGGCAAACGTACCAGTACCGCTTATTCAGCTGCTCCAGTTGGGATGCATTGGTTAAACCCCTAATGTCTGAAAGAGAATATGATCGGAGTGATGAAAACATAAAGAAAACAACTGAGAACAACAGCAGATTCATACTTCTTCAGGAAGGACAGACTGACTTCTAAAACTCTAATCTGGGTTGCTGTTCTGGAGGCTGAGTGCCCAGTGACACAGAGACTTCGTGCCAGGTGTGCCCGGCACAAGGGTTCCTTCCACAAAGACATGGATGGAAGAGCTGAAGCCCTAACCTGCTCATCCTCAGTGCTCAGGGCACTCCCTCGCAGATAACAGCTCTAGCAACCTCAAATCCCTGCCTGGCTTCTGTAAAGCAGCTGCATGTCAAGGTTTTGTCCTCACAGCGGATCCAACGTAGTACTTCCTCAGACAGAAACATGGTGATTTTGGCTGAGGAAAGCTTTTGACTGTAATTCAAGGTATCATCATATTTCTTCCCATCTGCTTATGAATTACGTCAAACGAGCTTTACAAACTTGTCAAGTTCTTATTTAAAAATCCAGCTTTATCCATGTCAGGCAATGAACACGAAGGAAAATGGACATTCCCAAGCCATCAGCGTGGCAGGAAGTGCCACTGCCACCGTTCAGCATGATCAATGACATTTGCTGGGTGTCCTGGGGGGGATCCAATGCGTTGGATACGGAAACCATGCGACCCTCACTGCGGGCTCAGTGCTGAGAGACAACCTGACGAAGAGGCATTTATCTGCTGCCCAAAAGCTGACTTTTAAAAATAATTTTCAGGTATGTCACATAAAAAATTGCGAACTTCAACTAAAAATAAAAGAAGACAGGAAGTTAATGAAAATACATTTTGGAAAACAATGGAGACAGCTAAAGAAGTGTCAGGAAACTGCCCAGGGAAGCAAACCGGAATCTGAGCCCGGGCACACATTGAAGCGTCAGCATTATCTCTGGTGAAAATGAGTGGGGGAGGAGGGAGTTTTCAGCACATTTTACAGACTGCAACTATCTTTCACAGCATGAAAAACTCTGGGGACATTTATTTCCAAAATTACAGCTGAACACCATCTATTAAGCATTTTCCTCTCCATACTTGTCTTCATTTATGCACACACAACAATAAAGAAATGTCTCAAGAGGTTCCATAGACACGTAATGGCAACAACCAACTACTGGAAAGGGAATCACAACAAACCTATCAATTCCAAACTATTTCAGCCTACCACATTTGTTAGGAACTGCCCAGGATCTCTTCATGTGTTGAAGAACTAACCTACATTTCATTGCATTTGCATTGACTTATTTGAAGATTTTCAAGGGTACTGCAACAGGCTGAACTGCTGGCTCTAATACACTGGTTAACCAACAGGAAGATACCATCCCTCATTAGCAGAATTCACTGCCTGCACATAAATCCTTCTTTCCCCCTTTAAAGACTTAGCATTAGGAATAGGAAAATACATTGACAGAGACTCTAAATAGGAAGCCAACTAGGTGACCTAAGCATAAATCCTGAGGGCAAATCACTTCAAGAGTCAGGAAAACTCTACAAAGGGAGGACCAATTTTACAAAGCCACCCTCCCAAGCAGAAGAACAAATGCATTTTCAGTTTGGAATCTGTGAAAGATTTTTTTTACTATGGAAAAAAATCATGCATATTAATTTGCCTAAACAGTTATCTACACCAATGTCACTTTCAGATGACTGGTGAAAAGTTCGTAAGCAGCTGGTAAGAAATTGGTCACCCAAATGTTCTCCAGACAAATGTTACCAGTCTCTCTGTTATACTCTTACTCTGATATGAACATTTTAGATATGTTCCAACTGTATGTATGGCACAAGCACTGTCCTTGGTGCCTTTAAAGGCAATAAAAGCAACTAAGCAAAAGCATTCCTTCACTTCCAGAACTTCCTCACACAGGTGTCTGCTATCTGCATGACAGCAGAGGGGCTGCAGAGCCCACATCAATCCCTGGGTCTCAGGTCCTTCCTCCAGCAGGACTGACTCCTTCTCTTCACTGACTCACCTTGATTTAGGAAGTTAATGGCTTTCATGCACGCGTACTCCTCGTTGCTGACCTTCAACTGGTTGAATTTGCGAAAGAGGTAGATCAACCGCTCCATCACCTCCATCCCCTCTTCACTGAATCTGGAGGACAGAGATCACACATCAACATATTCGGGGCACAGTCCATGTACGAAAAGCAAGAAACTCGTTTTAGTAACTTCAGAGATTTTTAAGTCTTGCAATAGTATTCAAAAACCCTCACCAAAACTGCTTCAAGTCTGCTGGGACTGTTAAATGGAAGTAGAAGGAAGTGCTTCAGTTTATCTCCACCCTGCTCCAGCTGTCCAGCAGAGCACGGAACATGCAGTTACCTCTTGTATGCTTACAGGTAGGTTGCTTTGCCTCTCTACACTTGTACTGCCCCAATTCACCATCAGGACAGTGCCTTCCCACCTCACGGGGCAGGCATCTTCCTGCACTTTCTATTTCCAACACCAGAAGTGCCCACAATTTCTTTTGTCCGTGTAATCCCATTTAAATTAACATCAGAGACTCACGCTGACCCATGCACAACAATGCTCCCCAGTTATCTAATGGACAGGTGAGGACCACCCATCACCTCCCTAAAATTCCCATGAGTAAATGGCAAAGCTTCCATACTTCCACACAACCATATTTATTGCCCGTTACGCTTTGCTCATCTTCCTCAGCTGAGAGCTTCTTGTGGTGAGACACTGCAGTAAGGCTGGGACCCTCCTCAGAAATACAAACATGCACCAAAATACAAATAACCAAGGTTAACGCAGGTGGAACTCCAGGTTGCAGACACAATGTCTGAGGCTAATCATGCAGTCTAAGTAAGGCTATTTCCTTCTGAAGCCCTCCCCCCAAACAGGCCATGCAGGAGTCACTGTGCTTTCTACACACACTCTGAAACCCAATGGCAGCAGACTGCCACCAGCGAGGGCTGTCATGGGCCCACTGCTGGGACCTGCAGCCACCACCACTGCCAGTCCTGAGTTCTCCCTCTGTATGAGGCGTTTGCTTCTGAACACATGGCTGCTTGCACTCAGAGCTCCCAGTTCCCTGCACAGCTGCTCTGCTGTTTGTCAGCACAGCACACAGAGATGGACTATTTGTCACACAGCAGCACGGGCTCAAAGTAAGCAGGTGAGGAGATACAGTCCCGTGGGGGAGCCCAGTCCCCACTATAAACATCCAAGAAGTTCTATAAACAGGAGGGGGATGAGATGTTTCCACAAAAACCAGCAGCCTCAGACACAGGAAGTCTGTTAAAAACAAGCTGCAGGCTTCCCTCTGAGCTCCCACCCTGTCCAAGAGAAGCCAGGAACCAACAGGTGGCAGAGGGCAGCCCCTCGCAAGGGAAACTGCCCTTCCACCCCAGGAAATGGCCTGATGCAGACCTGAGGGCACAGAACCCCCGTGCTGCAGGGCAGAGGCAGCAGCGAGCCGCAGGGCGCAGAGCAGCTCTGGTGCCTGCAGGCACTGCCCACGTGTGCAAATGGCCAGTACCGGCCTCTCCTGAGTGCCTCTCACCACAACATCACTGGTTTCAAAGAAACCGTGTATTGCATAAATCCTCAGAAGTGGGACAGAAGTGTTTCGGCAAGCTTCAGCTGCGCTCTGCCATTGTGCCGCACAAAGAATAAGAGCGCAGCCAGAAAGTCAGCTCTGAATAGAACGAAAATAGAACTCTTCTCAGTGAATAACACCTTATTTTGGCATGTATGTTTGTTTACTTCAAAGTTATTTGTAAAATGCACGGTGGAGGTTGGCCTCAGAGAAGTGAAAACAAGCTATCTGAACTTCGGGTCAGTTCTTCAGGAAAGTAATATTGTAAGTGATGAAAGCCTTGTCGGCTAATCTAAAGTTGTACAAGTTTTCTTGCTCTCAAGTTGACATTAAAAATCTTGCAGGTGCAAGATTGCAAAGCTCAAGAAGTTAATGAGCACAAAGACCACTCAGTTGTCTGTGGAGTTTAATTGTTTTTAGAGCATGCATATTTTTACCAGCCACTCATCACTTCATAAATCCAGGAGAGCTCTTCTCTCATTCCTGCAGTTGAACTGTCTTAGTTTTCTATGCATACTTTCCTCCCCCTTTCAAACAAAGCTGTTCTGTTTTTCACAGCCCTATTTCTTCCCGAGGACCGACTCCTCCACACACCTTTCCTCGCAGTTTATACCAGGCGAGTTTCTGGCTATGGGTTATCAGGATCAGCTGGGAAGAGGGGGAATAGAAGCGCTATCAGAAGAGTGCTGGGGGAGGTCAGGAATCCATTCATTTCATATTCACCTACAGAAAACAGCACAATAAAAGAAAACATTTGATCCAGCAGCCCAGGAGAACGCTCAGCCTGCTGTTAGAGTGGAATAAGACACAGGAGCTTATCTGATGTGTTCACTGTCACCTACCTAAGCATTAGAGTTGCTCCTGTCCTTTTGCAAAATACTCAAATAACCCCAACGAGTTGGACCAGCACAGCTCAGACCAATTGTTTTCAGCTGGCTGCGAGACCAAACTTCATTTTGCAATAACCACTAATCAGCACTGGAGTTCTCCAAGGAAACGGAAGCTCTTCAAGAAACCCCTCAAGGCAGAAACCTCTCTTCATGAGTTCCTCACAAATCCGAAGGAAACAGCTTGTCAGGAGCGTATGTCCCCCTGCCACACGCAGGCAGTTTCACTATGGATGAGCTGCCACAAAGACAACAGAGACTCAGCCCTCATCTGTGCAGCTTCCCGCAAATGGCTTTTGGTGTGCGTTTTCCTATTTCCCTTAATGACAATTAGCGATACTTGAAAGGCTAAATCAGAAGAGACCACAGCAGCATTCCACTCCTAAGAATGCCTATTTTCACCCATGTGCACAGATCTCCTCTGAAGGACTTTTGAGGCTACCGGCTTTGAATCACCCATTTCTGAAGGGGGAGGGTTCCTCCTTTGTCCTGTTTTCTTACCTCCCGCTTGTATTTATCACAAACTCCAAATGAAACACACTCTTCTCTTTTGAGGCTCTGACCAGGACAGTGCAAACAAAAGGAAGGATGAATATAGGAACAAGTGTTATTGTGCTTCCCTCTGACCCACGCTGCTCCCTGCAGGAGCAGCACCAGGCACAGGATGAATGGCAACAGCCGGGCTGAGCGTGGAGCAGAGACCTGCCCCAGGAAACGAGGCACCTGTGGCCAGCCCTCGCCTCCCCTGTGGTCCTCAGCAAGTTGGTCTCCAAGGGGTGAAGGGAGATGCACAAAGGAACCTCAAGGAACTGCTTGGTGATACGATGACCGGAGGGTAGAGACGTATTTTAAATCTCTCCTTACTAAACATTTAGATCCCCCGATGACTCCTGCAACGTTGCCAAGCCTAGCACAGGCAGAGCACCAACAGAGCAAACGATAAAGGAGAAGGTGGGCAGCAGCCTAGGTAAATCCCACTTATTTCATCATGATATTGTAAGATTTCGACTGCTGCCAAAAGGATCTGGCTGGCACCAAGACTACAGAAGTAAGGAAAAAAAAAAAAAAGAAAAAAAGCACAAAAACCCAACACCCTGGCCAAAATGATAAATGACAGGCAGGTTACTCAGAGCATCAGATAGTACAGACTATGGAAAAACAACAGCTAAGTTGCAACATCTTTACATTTATGAAATCAAAACAATGAAATGGCAATTAATAATGAACACTTTGATAATAAAGACAACCAGCTTTGTGAACAATCTTTCCATTGCCCAAACAATTTTTCAATAAGACCTTCCGTATCTCAGGGTTACCCAGCGCCAGATTAATTTGTTTCATTCTCCCCACAATAAAGGTGGTTTGTAGGGTTGTGCTGAAGTGAGATGGCATTGCTATGGGAGAGCCACCCTCAAGATGATGCAACCAGTACCTGTTTTCTCTTCCAATAGCCAGAAAGTCTCTGTCCAGCTATTTGCTCAGGCAGCCAGAAGCCTCTCTGGCTGTTAGTGCTGTTAGCTTGAAAACAAAAGCTAGAAATGGACTTACATCCACACTGTGTTTTTTCTCCCTCACAGTTTGATTTCTACAACTTTCATGAAAGAAATAAGAATAAAAAATGGATTTTAAAAATGTAGCAAAGATCCTTAAAAAAGGATGAAGAGAAAGTTCAGGTAAAATTAGGAAGAAATCTGCCATGCGCTGAGAAACACAGAACAGCCACAGAGATTAGGCAGAAAAATTGTCAGTCTCAACAGAAACCACAAACTGAAATCACAGGACATCTCTTCCAGCGGCATGACCAAAAGGAAAGGAGACATCCTACATCTCCCTGCAAAAGGAAGCTTTCATTCAGCACTGACTACATATGAAGTCTCAAGCACACACCGTCAGCACAGAACTCCCACCAGCACCTCACCTGTGCAGCTCATCGTCAGAGGGCGAGTACTTGGAGGTGACATCTGCGAGGTCACCAAAGATCTGTTTGCTGTACACAGTCAGCGAGGAAAGCAGGATCAGCTCCTGCCAGGTGGAGCTGAGCAGGCAGGTATAGTCCTTGATTGAGAGTTCACAGAAGAATGGCAGCTTCTTGATCCAAGCAATCTGCCTGAAAAGCAATTCATCCGCCAGACGACACAACAATGCAAACAGCTCTGCCTGAGTCACTTTATACCTGCAGGCACAGTTAATATGAAGGCATAAAAATAATTAAAAACACAGAATGACACAATCTGACAAGGCACTTGAAAAGCAAGAAAAATGTCACCACAACTGGTGTGCGAGCGCCCGGAATGCCGGTGCCCAGAGTGTCACCTGGCGGCGGCAGCGGCGATTGCCAGTGCCTGCTGGGGCCAGAGGAGAACCTCTGCAGCTGGGGCTCATCCCGGGCAGCACCTGCAGCTCCTGGGCACAGGGCAAGTGGTTCCTGCAAGCTGGCCCCGCTTTACTCCGGTCCCACGTACTTTTCCAGCCGTGGTGCTTGTCACCAGCCCTCGTGCATAGCTAGTGCAACCTCAGGGTGAAACCACTGAACTCTGCCGCCGCGCAGCCTCAGCCCAGCACGTACAGCCTGAACTGCTCTGCAAAGTCCCAGCCACAGCCTCGCCACAGGACAGGCTCTGGATTGCTGCCCGCAATGCAGCTGCAGCAGCTCCCCATGCTCCCTGTACCTCCAGCACCCCTCGCAGCACGGCAGCTCATTGCAGCACAGCCTGAAATGCGCAGCTCAGGGCTGCACACTCACCCGTCTTCAATGAGCATCGGCGTGCCGAGCGGCTCCAGGTCCTCCGCTGACACCAGCTGGTTGATCAGGCTGTGAGACTGGGGGTCCAGGCTGCGCGTCTGGGGGGGCACCAGCGCCGAGTGAGCAGAATAGCTAAAAAGGTGCGGGAGGTACTGATAGTGCGTGGACACTGGTGTCCCAATATATTGATCCCTGAGTGCAGCGAATCCGTTCAGCTCCACGGACCTACTGGAAAAGGAAAAGCTTTTTAATATACTAAAATAATTCTGCCTGATTCATTAAAATGTTAAAACTCCACCTACAGAATATGTGGATTAAAACACAGAAGAAAAAACGTCAATGAAAGAATGAAAAACCCCTCTGTGTGTACATCCTACACTGGAATATACTGAGCGTGCAGGTCGGGTGCTTCGTGCCGAGCATGGCTCCGGCCAGTTCCTCTGAGCAAAGTGCTGGGAGCAGCTGCTGAGCATCCATTCTGAGCAGACACCTAACTGCAGTGAGCAGTTCCACTCCTGCTTTCTTAAAGGGACAGAAGTTATGACTGTAAATTAAATAGTTCATATCGGCAGGGAAAGCAAATACCTCCTAGCTTACAGTGCAACTGAAAGCAGATGGACTGCAAGCCTGAGATCCTTGCTGTGTCCAACGCTGAATCAGGAGGCCAGCATTAATGGCAGCTCACAATACAACACCATTAATTAGTAACCTAAATGGAATTCATTTATTTTCAAAATCTGAACACAGTGAAGCAAAAGAGCTTATACAGATCGAGCAGTGAAAGCTAATCAATTCTCCATAATCTGCAGGAAAAAAAATAAAATCAATACAAATTAAGAGCTCTAGTTCAATAACTAGAATTTTAACTCAACACTGCCTTTTTTTTTTTTCATTTCAACATGAGCGTTTCACCTCTCAATTCAGTATTTCTCAATCTAGTTAGTGTCTTTCTGAAAGTGCATTTAGAGACGTAAGGATGTGCAGCACGTTCAGCTCACACAGAGGTATTCCCAGTGAACTTCTCCTACACTGACCCCAAGCATCACCCAGGGAAACAGTCAGAATTATTACAAGATGAAACTCTTCCAGAGTTAATTCCCACCTTGAAGATGGAGTAGACACAGGTGAAGGCTGGTTGCTCTCAGAAACCCCATTTCCAGGGGAACTGTGGTCGCTGTCTCCATTGTTGCTCCATGACATGTTTGCCTCTCCCTCAAATTCTTGTCCGGACATAATTCTTTCAATCTCCTCCTCCGATATCTTTCAGAAATAAGATCATTGCAGTTAGTGCCAAGCTGCTGCTTCCACTGAACAGAAAACAAGGCAGAGCTTCCACACGCGAACGCCCACCGCAGTGAGCAGGGCTGGAGCCGGCCTGCCCTTGCAGAAACACTTCACTGTTCCTAGAAACACCACATTCTCCCTTTACATTTAACAACACATATAAAAAATTCTATTTACAGCTGATGTCGGTGACCTTCAGCTCCAGCAGTACAATTCAAGTGTCAATAACAGAGCAGAGAGGAACGGACACACAAAAGGATTATGTCAGACACACACAGCAACGAGCCGTAAATCAGCCACTGTCAAAGAGCGCAAAACCACAGAGCAGTTGCAGCCAGTCCATCGAGAGCATCACTCAGTCCTGAGCGTGGTACAGTGCTTCAAGGAGCTGCATGTGCTCCTGGAGAAGAGTTACATCAGCTGTGAGGAATATGCAACATCAACGTTTTGAGCTTTTTTTTTTTTTTTTTTTAATTTTTTGTATTTCCTCTCAGCAAGGCTGTCTCAGCATGGGGAGACCTCGCACTGACACGATGCAAGAAAGGGCAGTGAACTCTGAACATCATTTTCAAGCACCCAACATTGTTCGAACAGTTTATTCCAGCCCTAGAAAATTGTCAGACAACCACACTAGGCTTACCAGGTACAACATCTGAAGACATCCAAAGAGTGCAGTAATTAAAGTGCTGCACCCCAGGACATGGAATTGATGGCACGATCCATCAGTCAGTGACCAACCACGCAGAGCTCAGAGGGCCAGGGCCTGCTGTGACTAGCAGAGGCCGCTCTTCTATTAAAGCTGCATTTTGCAGAGAGGCATTAAAATCTGAGTCATCACCTGGCCAGAAATAAAAGTTTGTTCTTCCTTGATAGACCCACATGGACTTCAAGAATCAGTAACTAACAATATAAATATGATGTTTGCAAACAGCAGAAAGTGCTAGATGATTTTTACTATGATTTGAGCTGGCTCCTTTCCACTGCTGGCAGCCAGTGGGGCTGCAGGAATTCTTGCCTTATTCTTGGTCAGTCACAGAGGATCTGCGCTTCCTGGCTGTCTGGCTTTTCATGTTTTTCATTTTGCACTGTAGTGAGTAGTGTTTTCATAGGTATATTGTCTCAGAAAATGCTTTTGGTGTTCTTTCTGTTTTATTAAAATAAACAGTAAACTTTTTAAAGACTGCTTCTCCAGAAGCCAGCTGGAAACAGCTGTCATGCCTCACACACTCAGTACAGGCTGCTGTGCTGAATTACCTCGCTTTTTACAAGACATCTCCAGACAAGCTATGTCATCAATCAGCAAGACATTTACTGGGAGCTCCTCTTGCAACAACTTAAGAAATTGCAGTGCACAGCCTACAAGATTTACTGGGAGCTTTGGAGGGATTGAGGTCCCTGTGCTGCTCACGAAGGACAGGCAGCTCTGACTGCTCAAACAGCGGTGCAGGGATCCCAGGCTTCCCATGCAGGTACCCACCACGATGCCCCAAGGCTGTAATGCGTCCTCTCCCACAGACAGCAGAGTTGAACTTTACTTACAAACCTACTGTCTGTGGCACACACCTGCAGCAGACAGGGTGGCAAGCCCTTGCTGGCAGGGACATGTCTGGGGGACCTTTGCCAAAGCAGCACTGCCCCTGTGTCCTCCCAAAGGCACTCAGTGCCTCTTTCTCCACTCCAGGATGCGCTGCTCGTGACTGGCTCCCAGCAGCTAGAACCAGGAGTAATGGCAAGCAAAGCACTTGGAAAACGCACCTCCTGCAGAAATTACTCACCTTCCCCATCCCAAAATGGCCAGCTGCTTGCCTTTCCCCAGCCACAGCAGGGAGAAACCTGGCTGCTGCAGAAATGAGTGCCAAGGTCGTCAGAACAAGAACAAAAGAGAGCCCTGGAGAAATTACTGCATGTGCTCACCTGGACAGGTCCAATACTTTTGTTTCTTCCTCCTGGCATGCCATCCTCTCTGATTGCTGAAAGAAGACAACCAAATCTTGGTAAGCAACAATGCTATTTGGTATTTTAAAAATAGATATTTTCTATTTTAAAACAATTTTTATTCTTAAAAGATTAATTCTGCTTAAAGTGCATTGGAGAGCAATGACTCCTCCTCACCCCAACAGCAACGTATTTCTGTGGCATCAAACATTACTCAGTGTTAAGCGAGATTCTTGAGCAACAGAGAATGAAGGAACGATCAGTCCTTTATGACAATTTTATATTAATTTGAGGGATGGCATATGGAAAGCAACCCTACTGCTCTTCTTGAAATACTTCAATACTAGAAAATGAAATGTGAACAGTAAATGTCTAAGTCCACTCCATTCAGCCTGCGAGGCCGGTGCAGGCCCGGCTGCACGCACAGACTCTGCTGATGCTGTAGACAACACAGAGATAAAGCACCTCACTGCAGCTGGCTCACACTGCTGCTGTTCCAGAGGGTCAGCCCTCCCAAAGCAATCACCAAGTTAGCTGCATGCAAACTATGCATTTAAAATTCAAGTTACTACACTGAGCTAAGCGGTTTCATTTCAGAAGAACAGCCCGGTTGCTCCATATAGCAGTTGTGTTCATAAGGCTCTTTAATCAGATTACAGAAAGCTGCAGTGAAGCCCAATTACAGAGGTGCTGCTGGAGCCCTCCTCCCATCACAGCAACCCCACAGAAGCAGTGTCTGCGGTGCCTCCTCTCCACCTGGTCCCCATCCCCATGTTTATCAGGGCCCAAGCTGTTTCCCAGCGGCCGGGCAGACTTGGCAGCAGGCTCTCCCAGCTGCACTGTGACCTTGTCGCTGTCCCTGCTGTACAGTGCATGGGGATGGGGGGGGCTCTCCAGAAGCAGAAAACTAGAGAAAATCTAAGTGAAAATTCCTGTAGCAGGAATTTCTTGTACCATACCTGGAGATGCTTGGCAATACTATTTGCTGAGATGTTTTGTATGGATATCAGTGAAGATAAACACCCAACTCAGCCTTTGTTGACTAACACCATGCCCTGCTGTTTACAGCTCTGTCTCGGAACTCCTCTGTCTCCCAGATTACACTGTGTTCAAGATGTTTTGCCAAGTGCAAGTTTTGTAAGCCTCGCTAGCTGTGTAAGCTGCAAAAAGGTGTTTGGGTTTGCTGATAGACCATCAAAAGGCTTCCAGAGGGCTGGCTGGTTCAAAACACACATTATCCAGGAGAGCTGTCTTCCTTCCGGCAGGCAGGACAGCCAAACTTTCCTCAAAGCAAGTTCCTTTCAAAAGTTAAGCTCTATGACTTATCTGGATTCAAGAATGTAGATCTAGTTATGAACTTTGCGACTTGATTATGCAATAATTTTCCCATATTGGCAAGCCTGTCCCCAGGTGGCAGCACGGGACTCACCGCTGAGCCCTGTCCCTTCCTCACCAACTGTGCTGTGCGTTTGGGAGGTTTCTACCTTGTGAACTCTGCAGATGTTTAGGTGTAGCTCAAAACCCTGCTGCACGCAGCAATCCTAAAGTGCTTGCAAAGAGTCCTAAATAACCGCCCACGAGCAGCTGTGTCCCATCCGCACGAAGGCGCAGCTGCAGGACGAGGGACCTGCTGGCCGGGAGATGGCAGCGCTGCCCCGTGCCACGCAGCTTTGTGCCTGGTGCCAGGACAGACAGCAGCACCGGACACCTGTGGGAGAGCACAGGGTGTTCTCCATAGAATGGGGGCACGCAGCAAAGACCAGGGTGGCTTCGGAACCGCTGCCAGAGCCCCTGGCCCTGCACAACGGATCTCCAGCAGAGTTAGACATTTTACAATAAAATATTCCAGTTTATATAATTGTGATGACAAGATATGCTCCCACCTGTGCAAGACTGAGCTGGGACTCCGCCTGCCTTAGGGGCAGGGGTGGACAAAGGCAAGCCAAAAAATTTGAGATAGGCCAACATTTATTTAAATGGCTGCAAATAAAATTTTAATTTTTGATTATTTACGCTGAAAAGGCAAAGGATGGTCTGTCTGAGATCAGCCACAGTTTTTGTTTCACACCCAAGACTCCACCACTGCCAAGCTCACATTTCTTTACCTTTCCGGTTCATCCCCATCTGGAGGCATTTGAGCAGCCGGCAGTACTGGCATCTGTTGCGCTGCTTGCGTGACATGACACAGTTCTTGTCTCGGCTGCATCTGTAAACCCGCTTGTTGCAAATGCTCCTTTTGAAAAACCCCTTGCAGCCTTCACAGGAGATGATGCCATAGTGCAGACCCGTAGCTCTGTCCCCGCAGATCAGGCAGGTTCGCTGATCAACCCGGTCATCTGGAAGAGAACAGAAAGGGCTCTGCGGTCAACAAAACAACTTCACCAAGCCACCTTATCTTTTTCAGTGGGACTGGAGTTGCTCCATGGCCACATCCCAAAACAGTACATTTCACAGGTGCTCACGCTGGAACTCCTCTCTCAGCAGCCCAGGCACCAGCCAGCCCTACTGCTGGGCACAGGAGTATGCAGGGCTCCATGGCTAAACCATCTGAGCTCACACATCCCACAGGATTTAAGTCCAGGAATTCTCAATAAGTGACAACAAGAACAAAGAACAGTACACCTCAAATTTGTCTCAAAGACAGCCTCTGGAAATGCTCTCTTTCTTAGTTGTGATTTACCAGAAATATGCAGCAGTTTGGAAGATTGGGTGCTTCTTGGGTTACAAATTGCACAGCAGGTCTCTGCACTGAAAGCACAGAATGCCTGGCAGACAGCAGTGGGATGCTGCACTGCACACGGGAAGCTGGCACCGGGATGTGGGGCAGGGAGGGGGACACAAGACATGGCCACCTCCACAAAGACCTCGCTTTGCAACGCACCCACATCCTGGGTGTTATTACCAAAATGATCATGAGATTAAGCTGCCATTACTTGATTTTACTATTCCTTTTCTAAACCTTTGAAAGGCCTCTGGATGACAAAAAATGTAAACTGTACAACCCCCAGCAACAGGAGCTGTCATATTAAATTCAGTACCTTAAGACTGTAAAGCCCCCTCTGAGACAGAAGAGGAATGATGCACCGCTCAGCAGGAACCTCTGTGAGCACACAGTAATCTTCATAGACATGGATGTCAAATGGAAAAGAAAAAGTAAATGATGGCTAAAGCAACCAACTTCCTTAACCGAGATGCATGCTCGCTATCTAGAGGGACATCTAAATCCTGCTTCACATTAAAAGTTAACTGCATTAAAATGGTGGCAGCAAATTGCACCAAACTGCTGCAGCCTTATGCAGCTGTCCAACCACAGGCCAGAGGAACCTCTCACACATCTCATCTCCTGCCCCAGCACTTTAACCCAACAAAGTCCTGACCGTGCAGCAGAGCCACTCAGAAGGTGGGCACTGCTCCTGCGTGCAGTGGGACACGTAGATCTGTCACATCCCTCACTCAGCTTCTTTCCCAAATGTCGGTCATTATGTGGACACATGGGCACCCTAGCCTGGCGAGGCGCAGGAAGAATTCTGTGTGGGTTTTGGTCACAGGACTCAGGGAGCCGCACCTCTGCATGCTGCTGTGCTGTGTTTCTTCTGAGAGCTGGTTAAGAAGGTTTCATTCTTAGCCTGAACACAACTACGCACTGATGTGCACAGCTGCCCGCAGCTTCCACAGGCACCAGGAGGTGGCAATGGCTGCACGGAGTTCCCAGCATGAGCGCTGTGACCCAGCTCCAGCAGCCAGCCTCAGCCCTTCGCACACAGAGCAAACTGCTTAGAAGGCAGACGGAAGCACGTACATCCATCAGGGGCCTGATGTGTGGAATCGCTCCTTCGCTGCCTAGGATTCAAATCACACAACAGAAACTGCTCCAGAAGCTCCCATAATAGCTACAGCTCAGATCCGCAGGGAAATGGGGAGCATGCAGCAGTGCCTGGGGAAGTTACCACACACAGCAAAAAGCTGGAGAAGGAGAGGAGCAGGAGCTCCCCAGCAGAGCACTGCCCCTGCGCCGTGCCCGCCCGGGGGTGTAGTGCTCTGCTGCCTGGGGGCTGCATCACAGACCCTTCTGTCTGGAGCAGCAGGACAGGAGGCACAGCCAGGTGCTCTCTGATCCTCATGAAATCTGGATCAGCTGACAAACCTCTGGGTAGCTCCTTACTACCAGAGAACACCTGAGCTCAATAGCAATAAATGAGCCAAGCCCATTAGGGTCAGGAACAAAGCCAGTTTTCAGCTCCATGAGCCAACCAAAAATCTAAGCCAGCTGCTGTTCTCATTCGTGCCTCTCTCCGCAGCTCAAACCCAGTAGTAACCACAACCAACTGGCAGTCATTTTTCAGATTTAGCAATGAATAGCATGCAAGTTCACAAATTTCACTGCAATTGTTCTAGAAACTTAAAATAAAGGCCTGGGCAAAGGAAACACAAACTTTAACTGAAGAAGCCTTTGCAGTGTCATCGCTGCTCCACAGCACTCCCAGTTCTACAGGACTGACCAGCTCAGGTATGCGCCCCAGGAGGCAGCAGGACGACCGTGAGGCTCCCAGCAGGCTGGGAATCTCGCTGGAGGCCCAGGCACACCCACAGCTGGGAACTGCATCATCTCCACCTCCAGCTCTCTGGTAGCTGAGGGGGCTGCGCAGTGGCCGAGCAGACCTCCCTGCAGCTTCAGCACAGCCCAGCTCCATTCCTCACCCCTTCCGCTCCCAGAGCCGTGAACCCAGCCTGCAGCAGCCTCACACCCTGCACGGTGCTGCAAACCCACGCTGCCCGCCCCTCACACACCGCACAGCGCTGCCATCACACGCTGCCATCACACGGGCTGCAAGCCAATGGTGGGGATTTAAATGAGGGCTCATTTCCAGGCACAGCTTTTTGTTATGGGAAGAATAGGGCTGTCGCCAAGAGAACATAGGAAGCACGGCTAATGAAAGCGGCCAGGGATCAGGGCCTTCCCTCGCAGTGCCCATCTCCCCACTTAGCAGGCAGTGGTGTGAGCAACCCTGCTGCCACTGGAACCTCAAGCTGCACGTGCCGTGCTGCAGAAACTCCTCACTGGGATGTTTCCAGATTAAAATTTGCCATAGAACAGTGGCACACACCACGAACAAAGAAACAAACCTACTGGGAGCAGAGAAAGAGAAGCCCATGTACCCCGTAAGCTGCTACTCCAACAAAACTGCTGGATGAAAATAAGTGCCTGAGAGTTTCAGTGGCTTAAAAAGTCCTGCAGAAACCGTGGTCAGGTCCACAATGATCCTACTGCAGCCCAGGGGTTTGCCAGCTCCTGACCTTTGCTATTTTTCACACCACTTAGTGCAAGATCCTCCTGTGAGCCAACACCAGGATCGCTGGGGCTGAGCCCCACAGAGCTTGTAAAGCACAGGTGGATTGAAAGCAGCCTTGCACTGGGTGCCCTCAGCTCCCTTCACCTTGAAATTTCATGGGAACACTGTAGGGACAACTGTTGGAAGCAAAGCAGCCCTCCCTCCTCCCGCTAATTCCTCTGGTTTTAACAGCCACACATGACAATACTCACTAAGAACCAAAGCCGCTGATAATGAGTTATTCCAAATGGCTTGCATGTGGTTTATCTGGAAACATCCTTCCTTTCAGCTCTCCTGATGGGTCTCTCACATAACGGGCTCATACGCGGGATATTCCAGCTTTGTTCTCACCACCTATTGTCGCAGGGGCCACTAAATCAAACAGTTGCTGCCACGACAAAAGCACTCACAAAAATCTCAACCTCATCTTGAACCCTGAAGATTTTTATGGCTACTCTCTCACTAACCCCTCCCCAAAGCCACATTAAAGGATGTATTGTTTTCAAAGGTCATGGTAGGTTTCATACCACGTTTTAATACAACGTAAATTCTACAAGAATATTATGATGTTACACAAGAGTCACACAGACAGTGCGAGGGAGCAGGGGGGACCTCTACTTGTCTGCACGGGAGAAGCCGTGCACTTGTTTTTTACAAGACTTACTTTTTCCCTCAATGAAACAAGTACTCTTGATAACACTAAAAAAGAAAAAATAAAATAAAATAAAATAAAATAAATCCCTGTGAATTTTCAAGAGGAAATACCTTAGATTCCTACTGAAGCACACAGCACTCAACTTTCTGGGCACGGTTGTACACAAGAACAGAAAACACAAATACAGAAAGCATTAAAGCACACAAATGAGCAGAGAAATACAGCGCAGATAAAGTGCTGGGACTTGCATTCAGACTTCAGCAAGCATCCATCATCGCTCACTGCTTTCGGGACAGGCTGGCAGCACCACGCGTGCCGGGGGAACAGATGCCAGCAGTCCCAGGGCTGCAGAAAGGCTTTGCAGCTCAAAAGCACAGCAGCTCCAGCAGCCGTGAGAGCTCTGCCAGGAAACAGAGCCCATGTGCACACGCTCAGAGCACTGCCTGCAGCACCAGGGCTTTGCAACATCGACACCTCCGCACCCGAGGCACGAAGATGTAAAACCCCCACTGGGGATCCCAAAAAGGGAATTTATTGGGATTTAGTTTTGTTGACAAGGGATGATGGAAGCTGCAGTTTCCAGAAATTCCAGCTTGTGCAACTGAACACACTTTAAAGCAAAGAAAATGTCCCCTTGAGAAGAAGATTACAGATGACACTCAGCACTGCAATTTATCAATAGCTTCAACATCTTCACCACCACATCTCGTTCCTCTGCTTCTTGACTCACTCTCCCTGGAGCTCTGGGCTCACAGCACTGCTCAGCATGCTGAATTCCCAAGCTGCTCCACACCAGCTGCCAGGGGCACAGGGAGGGCAGCTCACACGTGTTAAATCCCACCCAAACCTCACTTGCCTCTCCCCTCCAATGAAGCCTCAAACACCAGCAGACATGCCGAGATCACTTTTCCCCTTTCTCTTACCTAGCAATTTCTTTCACTTTCTTTTCCTTTCAAGAAAAACAGTGACTGAGCTGCTGGGGCCCGGGCATCGCCCTGGGGAGCTGACACCAGCCATAGGAAAGGTTAATGCACGCGGACAGCCTCAGGAAAGAAAAGAGAAGCAGGGGGGGGGGGGAAGAGGCAGCCTGCTGCCTCTTTCTTCTTACTGTAAAAAAGATGTCATGCTAAGGAGGCACAGAGTGCTCGGACAGTGCACCCATGCGTGCTACCTCACCCACTAATTGCAACCAACGCATACAGATGCATTCCATATCAATTTGATCCTGCAGGAGGATTTAGCCAAAACAAACCTCCCATCCACAAGTCAGGAGAACCCCACGACTCCATGCAGGGACACACGTCCCAGCTGAAGGGCCGCCACCAGCGCTGTACGGCTCACCTGGAGCGCAGCCTGTGGCAACAAGCATGGAACAGCCCGGCACGGCACGGCCAGCTGCACAAAGCCCTGGGAACAAAAGCCCATCTCACCAAACTGTGCCCCAGCGCAGGGAATGGCAGCCTGCAGCTGCTGCGGGGGGAGCTCTGCTCACAGCGTGCACATCAGCACAGAGCTCCGCTTCCTCGGCCATCAACTTTCTGTTATCCCAGATAAAAAAAAAAAACTTTGTTGTTCCAGCACGGCCATATGCTCTCGACTAAAATCTGATTGAGACCATTTTTTAAAATTGATAAGTTGCAGAGCAGTAAGATTACAGCTTCCCTTCCTACAATGACTGCGCTACCGAGGCCAGCTGGACGAGCGAGCACAGAGCGACGTGCAGCAGAGATGTCGGGTTCAGAAAGGCCGGCCGGGAGCCGCAGGGAGGCAGACGGGCACTAGGCAGCTCGGGCCGGGAGCACACGACGCGTCTCCCTTTAACGCTTTCACACGAAGTATTTCTGCCCTGACTCCGAAGCGCGTTTAGTGGGGCTTTGCCACCGCCTTCAATCACGGGGAAAAAAAAGCCGTGAAGTATCTGCGAAGTAGCGCCGGTCCCGGGGGGATGGGGCCGCCTTATCGGGAGCCTGCATGACCCCGGTACCATCCGTAATTAACGATACTAAAAAAAGCTCTTCCAGATGGTCCAACGGATTAGGAAGTTTCAAATACAAACAAATCAAGCCGCAGAACAAACGATTTCGTTTTAATTGCTCGCCGCCGCGGGCAGAGCACAGCTCCGAGCGCCGGGCCGCCGCAACCCAGCAGCGGGAGCGCAGCGAGAGCGCAACAAAGCGCCGCGCCCGGGCCGGCCGCAGCCGCTCTCGGCTCTCAGCTCCCCGCTCCCACCGCCCGCTCCGGACCCGCAGCGCGCAGCCGGGCGGAGCGCGGGCAGCGCGGCCCCGAACAAAGGCGCCGGGCGAGGCGGCCCCGCTCCGTCCGTTCCGGCCCCGCCTCACCTTCCATGCAGGTCGAGTCCCGCTTCATCCCCCCGGCTCCTAGCGGGGCCGCCTCATGGTCGCGGCGGCGCGGAGCGAGGCCAGCGGCGCGGCCGGGCTGCCCGCCTCGGCCATCGCCCGCCGCCCGCGGGCCGACCCTATGCTAACGAGCCGTGATGTCACCGCGGGGCTCGGCGGGCGGCCCCCAGCGCGGGGCCTGGCGGGGCTCGGCCTCCTCCGCTGCCGGCCGGGCCGGGGGCGGCCCCCGGGTAGAGCCGGCCCGTACCGCGGCGGGGCGGGGGACCGGGGCTGCGGGGTGAGGCCGGGCACCGAGCCCCGGCTCCGTTCCCGCGGCGGCTGCCGTCCCGGAATCCCCGCGGCCGTGCCCGGCGCCGGCAGCTCCGGCACAGCGCGAGCCAACGGGCGCGGGCGGCGCCGGCCCCGCGGCAGCCCTACGGCCGGGCGCAGCCCAGCGCCGCGCACGCGTTTCGCTTTCCCCGAGGCCCTGGGCTTCGGGCCGCGAGACCCGCAGCGCGCCGATCAGCTCCGACCGGGTCGCGCCCCGCTGCGGAACGGCGCTCCTCGTGCGGCCCGCCGGGCTCGCGGCAGCGCGCCGGCACCGCTCCGAGCGGAGCGCAGGGCAGGGGCTGCACGTGGGGCTGCTGCGAAGTCGGGCCGCGGTCACAACTCGGCGGTAAGCACCCGGCGCTGCTCCCACGCCTGGGCCGCTGCTCACCGCGCTGAGGCATTTAAGAGCGGCCAAAAGAGCTTCCGTAACGCCAAACTCCGCTCGCCTCCACTGACTGAGCTGCGGGGCCGCGGCCTGCTCCCGTTCCTGAGGGCTGCAGGGCTCAGCCATGCTGAGAAATGGCCGCCTTAAAGCAAACAAGTCACAGAGGCAACAAAAGAGGTCATATTTCACTCACTCCCGAGCCTGACATTTTATTGCTTTCTGGTGACATCCAGCAATGCCAATAACCCCTGGTGCAGCACAGCCCATGCTCTGCCCGGTGGGGCCGGATCCCTCTGCCGAGTCCTGCCGTGCCCACCCTCACCCTGCCCCCAGCACACAGCAGGTGCGCGAGGTGGCAGCGAGGCGTTGCAGCCCTGCCAAGGCCTTGCCATGCTGGCGCTGTAAATCTGCAGATCCGCTGCGCTGCTCCTTGACATGCTCTCTGCTTTGACCTCTCCTTTCTCGCTGCAGAGGTTACCGAAGCAGGGCTGGCATGAGGAGCCTGTTATCCACACCCCCAGCGCACGGCCAAGGTAAGCCCGGCCCCTGGCCGTGCTGTTTACACAGCTGCTCACAATCGTGCCTGCTCCAAAATCTCCATGTTCTTTATCTTACACGAGCGCCCCGCTCTGCTCCTGGATCCCCTCGGAGACGTGTGAGCAGAATGCAGAGCACCACAGCACTGAGGTGGTCTGACATACAGCAGCCGGCCCTGGGGACAGCAGGACAGCATAGCGCTGCTCACACTGCTGCTGGAGCAGCTCGAACTGCAGGATGGCAAAAATCCTGCAAATCCAAGTAGAGCTGCAAGTATAGACAAATCTGGTGCTGGGAAAAAGGTAATTGGCCAGACAGCCCAAGTCTTCCAAATTGCTCCAAACTCATGCTAAACACTTGTGCCACAGTTTACTCATGTCCATAATGTCAGGGAAGAAATTAATTGCAGAAATCTCGAACGGTTCTGTAAGATGAGAGGCTGAGCTGTGAATGGGGTGCAGGGCAGGAAAGGACGACAAGATGGATTAATTCTATTGTCTGAACCAAGCAGCCTTACAGCTACTTTGGTAAAAGAAAATATATTGTGGTTGTTTCTTGTGTTGCCCTGAATCAGCCCATTCCCAAACCCAAACAAACAAACAAGCAATAAAAACACAGAGCCATGACACTACTGCAACTGACAGCTCAAATTTTAGAATACCAACAGTTATCAGCACGAAAAGCTGAAAACATTGCAATGACTCGACGAGCGACAGCACCGCCTGCAACAGAGTTATTGTCCTGACATTATGGCCACGAGGGGGTGGGCAAAGGAAGCAATAGGGGAGGTACGGAGATACCCAGGGCATCCTGCACAGGGCTGGGGCGGAAGCAGAGAGAGGCACCTCCACCGCCAGCAGCATCTGCTCCTTCCCCATTCTTAGTCCCAGTATTCTGCACAAAGCCTATCAGAAAGATCTTTACTCCCGTGTAACACTGCACGGGTGTGAAAATCAGGGAGCAATTCCTAACGCCACAAAGAACTGTGGGAAAAGATGTACAAGTCAAAGCCTGCCGGTATGCCTGCATGCAAGCTGCTGCTGTGACTCAGCCCAATATCAGCATGGCCACTGGCATGCAAGTGGAGGCAGAACGAAGTTGTGTTGTTGTAATTTCTGCACACCGAACTGTGGCATCATGCAAACTGCTCAGAACACAGCAGATCACTGGTAATAAAAGGAAAATATGCCAAAGAGTTGTGCAAGGCTTTAAAAGGTATCCTGCAAAAGTACAGAGTGCTGCTGTGGGCTTTTCCTCACAGATGCATTCACTGCTCACCCTGGAGATGCAGGCTCCCACCAGCTGCCTGCAGCAGGAGCGCCGTGCGTGGCCAAATGAGCCCTCTCCTTTAAAAGGGAATTGTTCAGAAGCTATGGAAGGAACTGCAAGGAGTGATTATAACCACTTGCGTGGGCACTGCATTGCCACACTGGCTCAGGGAGCAGTCTACAAGAAGAGTTTCATCATCCCTTGCTCAATGGGTGACAAAGAGTGGGCATTGCCTCTGTGCGACTGCAGGAGAGGGGGAGGTTAAGGGCTCCTCAGGGAGGAGAAAGGAAAACAAATGGGAGTGCAGGAAGGAGAAGTATATGGCTTTACTGCCTTAGTGGGCAAGTACAAGAAAAGAGAATTACAGAGGGAAAGCTTTACATCTCTATGAGCAGGCAATCAAGCTCCTTTCTAACCCTGAGCAGGAGGAGCTTTCTGTGCACAGATCAGCCTCATCCTACGCTGAGATGCTGGTGCTCTGCAACAAGCCAGCAATTTGCTACCCCCAACCGGCAGTACTATCGTACTTGCAAGCAGCTGGCTCAGCAGCTGGGAAGCACCTGTGTCCTGGCATCACCAGAGCAAAAAGCAGTGAGAGAACATCCCCTCAAACTTTGGGTCAGACAGCAAAAGTAAGGGGGGAACTACTTCCAACCTAATGCTGCAGGTGTGGTACTGCATCGTGCACACCCTGACTGCAGCTGGCTGCTTGCTGCGCGGCACCAGGAGCACACAGCGTGCGGTGCGGAGCTGCACGCACCAACGGGGCCACGCGGGAACCGAGGAGGGGGAGCTCAGGGGAAGGTGTGACATAAGCGTGAGCACCAAGGCCTGAGCTGCATGTGCTGCTGCCAAACAAAGCTAAATATGTGTTCCACTGAAACAGACAAAACACAGCAATTTGTAATCCCTGGGCTTTTACAGCTGCTTTAAAAAAAGTGCAGCCTTAAAGCGTTCCTGTGCCCTGCGGTGAGGCAGGACTCTGTCCTCACCTTCTGCCGGCGAGCACCCAGGGACACAGCCCTGCTGCCAGCCCCGGTCTGCAGCCAGAGCCTGCGCTGGGGGAGCTGCAGGGAAGCGGCTGGACAGGAGAGGGCAGCACCAGCAGCACTGCTGCATCCCACAGCACTGCTGCATCCCACAGCACTGCTGCATCCCACAACATCCCACAGCATCCCACAGCACCTGCAGCACTCGTAGGATCCCACTGCAGCAGGATGCCACCTTCTACATTTTCATACAGTTCTCATTTTTCAAATTAAATGTTGTTGTTATGGCGTTTGTAGTCTTACAGATTAAAAGAGGGCAACAAAAACATAAAAGTAGCAGGCTGAATATGTATGGTGTAGCCCCAGGATTAAACATCCAGTCCAAGTCTTATCTGCTGCTCCTTAAGAAAAGTGCCTCCATCACCTCCCGTTTCCGTTCTGCCCAGGCCTTTGGAGCAGCCTGGAAATGCAGGGCCCTTCTGCACTGCTGCCCCCTGCCTCCTCCTGACAGCACTCTCACTTCTGCGCCGTGCAAGAGCCACGGCCTGGAAAGCAGCAGCTACCTCCCTGTCTCCCTTCCGCTAACTCTGTTCCAGTCTCTCCCTCCCAATAAAGTTTTCACACAATCCGTACCAGCAGCCCCCAGGCTCCAGATGCACCCACCCCGAACAGAACGAGGTCCCAAATTAAGATGTACGTGGCTGCAAAGAGAAAGCAGTGTTAGTAGATTAACATCAGCAAAAAGAGCCTTCCATCCTGCTCTCTGTGAGCAGCACAGGACGTGCCATTCGCTTGCTCACTGTGTCTCAGGGCTGCTGCAGACCCACACTGCTTTGCTTGGAAGGGCTGAACCAAACACACTGTCTTTAAGACAATTAGATTTTCAAAAAAATTACACTAAACATTTCTTTCATGTGTAATCAAATTATGTTAAAGCAAACCTCATAATCTAAACCATTCCATTGGTCAGCTCCTATTTGTTTTCCCTGCACCCTCATTTTTGCTCCAGATCTGTCACATTACATTAACACCTTTCCTACTCACTGCCTACAGAAATAAAAGCCTTCGACATGCCTGCACAATCCATTTGTCCTGCTCTAATTACTTTTTGACATAGCCTCTTTTGCTGCTATCTTGCCTTTTCTGACCTCTGTCTGTATCAAAGCCATTTAAACTCCGTATCTATTGTGATGTCTCTTATACGATACCACTGGAGCACTGGGCTGCAACATCTTGTAAATCCAATATTTAAATCTATGGTAATAAGATGATGTACTCGAGGAGGACGGCTACTGCATCTGGGAACAGCTACAACCAGCTGCAAGTACACTGAGTGCCTGAACTGCAGCACGTTTGTAGGGTGAGATTCCTGTAGTCAAGAAACTGCTGAACACAACCAGGTAGCTTAGGGAGAAATGGGCTCTCTGTGTCCTAAAGAATGCCCCTTAATTTCACAAATAAGGAGGAAAGCAGCAGAAGCTGGGAAACGTGGTCACCTTGCACACACACTCACACACAATAAGAAATAAACCAATGGTAAAGAACTTGAGCAGACAGGGAAAGGACCAGGGCAACATACAGCAGCAATGCAAGCTCAGAAG